AAAAAAAAAAAAAAAAAAAAGCTTTCTTGAGTTAAAATTTGTCATTAGTTGGACTTTTGAGCATTTAATTCGAGACATTTGGCTAAGGCTAAAACAATATATGAGAAATACATTTTACCTAACCCAAATCTTGAAGTAAAGAAGATGCCTACTAAGATTAAAAGAATGAGGAATCCAATAGTCAAAGTTCGTGCTCCTTAATGGAGGGAGTTGAGTTTGTGGTCTTTATTAAAGGGTTGCTTGTGAGGTGTTACTGTCAAAATTGATTATTTGAGGTATGGGTGAGAATGAGTCGGTACAGTTTGGAGATTGAGACATCTCTAGAGCCGTACCAAAATTCGGAGATCACTAAATTCGATCTCCGGAACCGTACCAAAAATTTGGAACGCCTCGATTAAGAAATTTTTATTTTTTGGTTCGGTTTTTGGTACTATCGGAACGGTTCGGTTAGGTATGGTTTGCTTGGATCTTCGGAGAATTTTTTTTTTTTGAATTATGACCTAGTTATATTTTAATTTTTATATGTTTTCAGAAAACAATATTTATCAATACTTGATCTTATTGAAGATTTTTATTTTGAAATCAACTTTAGAAAAACTGCAAATTTTAGTTATTTAATTTTTATATGCGTTTAAAAAAACAACATTCATTAATATTTTCTCATATTAATATTTTATTTTAAAATCAATTTTAAAAGTAACTCTAAATTTTAGTTAAGACTACGCTCGTACGTCACACTTCTTGCTCGCGGAGCTACATACAGGAAAAAAAGAAAATAGTTAGGGGAGCGGCAAGCCATTCGTCCGTCTAAAGTTTTCATCCACAAAATGTACGTAGAACGCTCGATAAAACTCTGCGTTTCTACCCCTATTGGTGATATCCAAAAGAAAGGACTGAAGACTCCCATTGAAAATTTAAAATTCAAACAAAACATAATATAATTTTTTCTTAAAAAATATTCTTTAACCTCTCATACCCTTTTTAATAATTTTTTAGAATAGGAAAAAAATCAATTGCAGATTAAATATTAATAAGCATGAAATTTAAGTGAAGATTAATTATTATTACTATATTTTCTTTGCATTTTAAAAATTCTTAAATTATATAGGATCAAAGTTGACATAAATATATATTAATAAAACACATCTAATGTTATAATTCAGTTCTTAATTTCAGTTTTTCGGTTCGGTAGGGTATGAGACGATTCTGTTCGGTTCTCGGTACAGATATTTGTGAAACCTCTAAAATCGTACCAATTATTTTTTCGGTTCGATTCTGATAAAGTGAAACAGTCAATGAATATTTTTTTGTTCAGAGTGATTTCGACTCGGTTTTTAGAATGGTTCGAAATTCTCCGAGTCTCATGCGCAGCTCTATACTTTGTGGCCACTTTTGATCTATGATTTTTTAATTGTTGATTAACATATACCATTGACATAATTTAAAAAGATATATACCTTCAAATAGACTATTCTAGTTTAAATATATGCAAACTTAATTGAATATATACCTTCAAATAGATTCTCATTCTAGTTCTATGTGAACTTAATTGTTCAATGACCACACTTTTTCAATATTATATATATATATATTTAAAAAATAACAAAAAGATAAAAATATGATAATATATAGTATAAGTATACATTTTTGTTTGCTAACATAAGTATGATAATCGATCTGTGTAACTGTGAAACTGCCTCACAACAACCTATATATATGATCGGTGAAAATATTGGAACTTCCATTTTCACGGGCTGAGAGCTGAGTATTAGTGATTTTAGGAACAACAACTCAAGTCCAATTCTCAATCAAGCCCGACATACAAGCCTAAATGGAATTCCATTTTAAAATCAATTGACAATAGAAGGAGTAGCCGAATTGAAACCTTTAATTTTTCGGTGTGAGATTGAGTCTGCACACCCAACTCAAACACAATAGACTACATACTTGGGTCTCCACTTGAACTAAATCCATAGGATCCGACCATCTTGTACAACCGTTATCACCCACGGTACACGCCGCCTAACCACACTTTTTCGCCAGGAAGACTTTCGACACAAGGCACATGGACCGTCCACCAGTTCCACGTGGAACATGCCATCATCCACATCAGAACTTGGCTACCAACCGTAGCTTTGATACCAATTGTTAGAACCAACAACTCAAGTTCAGTTCTCAATCAAGCCCAACATACAAACCTAAATAGAGTTTCATTCTAAAACCAATTGGCAGTAGAAGGAGTATCCCACCAAGCTTATATATTGAACTTGAAACCTTTATAATTTTTCGGTGTGGGATTGAGTTTGAACACCCAACAAGTGCTGAATATTGTTTATTTAAATTTGTACCAAAATAA